GTATTTATGGTCGATTGATGACGATTTTTACAGTTAATTTATGATAATAATTTAGTTGTGAATAAAATTTTGTTTATCTTACTACGGAGACCAATATATATTTTAAAATCAACTATATAAATAATTACTTAGCCTATTGAGTTATTTGACCCTTTTAAAAGATATTTTTTCTTATTCAATAATTATGTTATATATGATCGTACCATTATAACTATTAAGTTGGTTATAACTTATATCTATGATTCCTCTTGATTGGAGAATTTCTATGATTCCTCTTTAAGGATTCTACCATTATGATGATTTGGTAATCAGGGTATATATGATCGTTGTCTATCTCTAAATTAAATAATCAAGCCACTAACTTCTTTAGACTTATGGTGGCCAACAAGAGGAAAGTGGTCTCCTTTCAACTTTTTCTCTAATCCCACCATTTCCATGAACAATTAATAATTAACACCAAAAAGCATTAATAAAAGATATTTGCATTGATAGATAACTAATGGATTATAAATAAAAATTTGTAACGGTATTTTATTTATTCATAATTGGCACAATCTCATTCTGAAACTCAAAACATCTGTATAAACCGATTTCTTTTTGTGGTTAAGGTGAAAGTGAACCTTCTTTTTTTGGTTTCTTAAGAGAAGTTAACTTGTAATGCTGTTATTTCGTTAAGTATTATATATAGTGATAAACCAAACGCATGGACTTCTCTTTTTTTTCCATAAGATATAGCTTAAGAGCATCAAACACACTTTCATTACCTTAGCCTTTTTCGTAGAGAAAAATTGGAAAGAGAAGAAGATGAGTTTCTTGCCATTAGTGAAGATCAAACTAGGTCTCATCTTTCTTCTTCTTTTAGCTTCAACGTTTGCTCTCTCTTTTGCAGGTTTGTTTCTTACTTACTTTTATCTCTCTATCCCTCTCTACCTATTTTTATATATATATTCCTTTGTTGCAGCTTTTCTCTACAACTTCATGTGCTAACTACTTGCTTATAGTCTTTTAGACAGTAAGATAATAACATCAAGAGCTTGTGGTGCACATGTGTGTTTTTAATTACTCGATGACTAATGCCTCTAGATATTTGAATTGTAAATAACATCCATAAGTTTATAACAATAGCTGTAATTCAATAGAAACTCGCTTAACAAAAACAAAACAAAAAAAATTTATAAGAAAATTTGACGACTATATTTTTTTGTAGGCCGATCATCCATTCTAATCTATAGAGAAGACGACAATCATCAAGAGGTAAGTCGTTTTAAACCCCAAAAAAGTTGCCAACTATAGCCTGCGTTATAAATTTTACTTAATAGTTATTTGTAAAGCAAAATAATTTGATTTTCAAGAATTATAATTAGATTATTTCAAGAATTAATTAGAATGATGTGGACAGGTGGAGGAAAGAAGGATACATGAACATGAGAGAATTCTGAGGATGAATTCAAGAGACTATGGTCGCTCTAGTCCTAAACCAAAGTTCGTGAGGCCTCCTTTCAAGCTTATTCCCAATTGAATGATCGTTTCGCCGATCGACTTTATATTATGTAGGTTCCGACTTTATGAGATGTATAATAATATATGTATACCTAAATACTAACATTGCAATAAGTTTGATAAATGATAATCCAATTATCATACAAGTTTGAAGATATTTATCTAGTAAATGATTCTATGGTCTTTGCTATCACACGGATGTAAATTTGGCGAATAGTGGAATATGGTTTGATTATCAGGCAACTAATCGATGATAATGCATTGAAGTATATTCTTTTACTACTAAAGAAAAAAATTTGCACGAAGTATATTTTTCAGCTGTTTTTCTGGAAGCTTCCACTAGAGTTCAAATCTTATGATTGTAATTGTTGAACAGAAAAAAAAAACAAATCAAGGAGTATATCGTCTTCAATATGATACACCAAAAATTGGCATCTATGATTTATCATCAATTTCTAGATTTTAAAAATATATAAAAAGCTATAAAAATTAAAGACATGTATATATATACTAGATTAGGACCCGCGTTAATACGCAGGTAATCATATTAAAAATTATTTATATAAATATTTAAGTTTTAGTTATAACCTGTTGAATTACTAAAATATTTTAAAATAATATTTAAACACAAATCTTAAGTCATTATATATCAATTTTTATCTTACCTTTCATATCCTAATTCATATCTTGCTAATCCTAATATATATGCGTTTAATTGAATTCATATTCTTAATAACAAAGAAAATATTACTATATTTTTATTCGTAATGAATGTACAATAATTATATGATAAAAACGTAAAACAATTCAAATAATGTAGAGTTAAATTAGAAAAAATAAAGTTTATGTTAATAATCTCATAAAAACCTATAAAATTATTTTAATAGCAAATATATTGTCATTATCCTTTCAACTTGTATAATTTTCATTTTATACAATTTTTCTAATTTAATTCAAAAAATTCACTTTTTGTGATATTCTATAATTACGTTCAAAAATATGTTTATAGATTTTTGTGTTCTTTGACATGGTTGTGCATATCTTAAACTTTTAAATTTAGATTTCCATATCCTTTCTAATTATTTTTTGTTTTTCAGTTTATGTATCATCTTTTGTTTTATCATTCATCTTTTTCTTTTATTCTCTCTATATTTATTTTTTTAGGACTTATTTATTTCTAAGTTACAATTTTTCAATATCTATTCTCTCTACTATTTTTTGTTTTACGACTTGTATTCTCTTGATTTTTTTTCTTAGTTTTTTTTATAATTAGTGTGGACTATTAAATTTGTTTTTTTCTAATTAGTTTTGACTATTAGAAAGTCATTGTTTTTCAATTTCTATTATCTCCCTATTTTTTATTTTTTTCTTACGATTTATATTCTCTCGATTTTCTTTTTTAGTTTTTATTTTATAATTTGTTTGGATTATTAGAAAAAAAATTCGCTAATTTAATTAAGAATATTAAAAAATTTATTGTTATTCTAATTTGTATGGATTATTAGAAATTTTTTTTTTTTATTTGGTTAGTTCTTTAACAATTGTTTGTTAGTTTTCCATTTTTAATTTTATTTTTTCTTAACTAATTTTAAAA